GAGATTCCTCTGTTTCTAAGCAAATTCCACAAATTGACATGATCAACACAATTGGATGGAGCACTGATAGATTTTGGGGAGTATGCTTTGAGTATGCTTTCAATTATCTAGCGTGCATCAGCAATAATATATTACATTTCTTGGTCTTTTATAAAGCTAGCTTGAAATATTTGGAAGCTCCCTTTCCATGTAGGGCTATCCATGTAGCTATCTCCCTTTCCATGTAGGGCTCTAATTTATATTGGATAAGCCTAAGTATTATTTTATTTGAATGTGAAATTAAGGATAATCTATAATATTTTGCACATTCTATTAAATCCCCTTTATTGGAACTGATATGTTGACTGACCTCTTCCAATCTATTGCCCACTGCGTCATTCTCCAGATTTGCTGGCATGGCTTAGGCAAAACCTTTACAGATTTTACTTCTGTTGCTTTCCATATTTCAGTGGTTACTCCATCAGTTCCTGAAGCTTTCTAACTTGGTAATTATCTAACTCAGGGATGTCAAACTTTCATCATCATGGTGGCATCACGTGACATATCATGACCTTTATTTCCCTTCGTTAAACCGGGCATGGCCAGCGCGTGACACATCCGGCCCATGGGCCATGAGTTTGACACCCCTGATCTAACTTCATCTTGTAGTATTCTAGTTTCTTGTGAAATAGGAAGATATCAATATGCAATTAGTCCAGTGGAAACATCTCTCTTGAATGTCTGGGTTTTAAACACTACTTTTGTCAATCAGAAATTTTCAAGATATGACATTAAGATAATTGACACTTCAAGACTTATTTGCAGAAAACTGATAGAAAACTGTTGTGACCTAGGCTTCCTGAGTCATTAAAACACACCAGTAGTTCCCAAAAATCTCTTTTATTGCAACAGCTGTGAATTACATTCATTCACAGCTGAGTCCCAATTAGTTGCAAAAAGTCCTTCGGGAGAAGTCCTTCGGGATAATCACCAACCTTTATCTTCCTTGACACTCTGCCAAAGACCTACTTGGCAAAGCCACACAACAGAATCAAACAGAGATGCTGACTGGGAACAGAATTAACAACGTTGCTTTCCTGCAAAGTGCCCACGTGTGTTTGCTCCTCTTTTAAGCCTTATGGGAGGGCCAATCATCTCCAGGCTTTACTCCTGAGTCGTCCTTTTTGTTTTAACTGTTCATGCCTTCTGGGAGCTCTGAGCATGCGTGCACTAGGAACAGGCTCTTCCTGTTCCTCTGCCTCTCTGCTGTCTGACTCTGGAGGCTCTGGAGCCCACGCATCACTCCCAGATGGCTCTGGCCCCATCTCTGCCTCCGATGCAGAGCCCACATCCGGGCCTTCCCCAGACTTTAGGACTGGCCCATGTTCCTCCCCAGCCTCTTCACTGTCAGACTCCGCTGCCAGCTCTGCAGGCTGCTGGTGGACCACAACAAAATATTTTATCATATCAACCTGAGAACAGAATATATCCACTATGCACATCCATGATTGTGGGTATTTGTGGATACATATCTTTGCAACAACTTATGAAGCATATATCATATTAATTTTTTAATTTTTCTGCTACATCATCTTTGGCATATTCGAAAATATATGTATTTATAATCCATATTCTGTTGTAGATGGAATTACTCGCTTCTTCTTATCCCACTGACTCATCTTCTTTCATACATGCATTAATGTAAAAAGTAAAGGCCTGGATTATAAGGGAAACTGGCAAGGTGTAGAGAAATAATGGAGATACAAAATATAAGGGATTCCTATTTTGTGAAAGCCCTTTAAAGCATTTTGAAAAATAAGAGCAGTCTCAAAGGATTTCTGATGGAGTGACTTCACATTTGGCAACTTGCTCTGGAGCTCTCTGATACCTGTAGATTCTTAAGATGTCATCATTTCTCTTCCTTAGTCTCTAGGAATGTCCAGCAAAATGCATCTGCCAGGTGCAGAAGATGCCCTGCTGTGCAGTTATTTTATACAGGGCAAAATGAATTCTTACTGATTTTCTTTTGAGGAAAAAACTAATTTTAACTCTTTAATACAGACTCTAATACATTACAGCTTTGAATAAGTGGCTTTTTGTGTCCCACTGATTTCTTTGGGATATATTGGTCCAAAATTTGACACAATCCATATAAAAATGCTGCTGCTTCTGTTTGGTGAAGCTTTGATTGAATCCCTCTGTCCAACCAGATTTTCAAATTCTAGACAATTTTCAAAAGAAGGAATTAACTCAAGTGGCTCTGAAGCATTTCAGAAATATAGTTACTTTTCTGTTGCTTTTTGTATTATTACAAGCAATATATAATTATTTTTAAGATATAACACTCGATACAAGTAGAATGCATGAACAGCCCATGAGTGAAGGATCATCACACATGGATCATCATCATTATTTAGGGCTATGTACAAGAAATTCTTTCTCCATTCTGCAGGAGGAATATTTAATTCTGCTATATAGTTATTCGTAGTCATAGTAGGTTCCTAACTACTGGTAGGGCAGAGAGGGGAAAAGCAATGAGTTCTGCAATAGTTAATAGTGACTAATTCTGTTCCACAACACAACAATCCACATCCAGTCACATGACTTTTCTTATTCACACCTAGCATCCCTGTTTCCAGTCTCTAATGTTTCTGTTCTCAAGCTAAGCAACCTGTCTTACAACATCCTCCCCCCAGCCCCAGTAGTCCTTCTACTGGCTCATCAAAGTCTATAGAGTCATACACAAAAGAAATCCTATTATTCCCATATAAGCGATGCTTGAGCAGGGTCCACAGGATTGTCTGGGATATCCTCTTCATGACCTGTTTTCCTTGTTATCTTCTGGGAGAAGGCTTTGTGGTATCCAAAGCAGAACAAGATTCAATCACAGTTTTGTTCCATACAGTGTCAACCTTGTGAACTCTCAAGTTTCCTCTTTCCGCTAGGTATTCAAAATGGACAGTGATTAATGTGTGTGTGTGTCTGTGTGTGTGTGTGTGTGTGTGTGTGTGTGTGTGTGTGTAGCATGTATATGTGTGTTATGTATGTGTATGGGTAGATATATACTTTATTTTGAGAGCAGGCAACAGAATTTCATTTTAAATGTAGGCCAATAAGAAAAAACGATAAAAGTTTTCCTCTCTTATCTTATTCAATTGGTGTATTTCTTTCTCTGCAGTCTCTCCTTAGCTCAAATTCTATTTCTTAATACAGAGGTCTTTTTCTGTCCACCCACGGCCTGGGATTTGGTTTTGACTTTCCTGCTTTCTTGAGGCCATTGAACTCTCTAGCTCAGGGGTGTCAAACTCACATCATCATGGTGATGTCATGTGACGTATTGGGACTTTTTTCCCCTTCGCTAAATCAGACATGGGCATGGCCAGCGCATGACACATCTGGCCCATGGGCTGGGATTTTAACAGCTCTGCTCTAGCCTCTCTAAAATTTTGGGAGCTGAATTTAAAGGTGCTCAGGTTAAGAAATGCTGCTCTAACCATATCTCACTTTGGTGGTAGTACTTGTTCTGATCTAGGTTTCCTTAACAAGTGGGAGGCAGGAATTGGTCCCGGCAAAACCTCTTTTATTTACACGACTGTGAATTACATTCATTCACAGTCAGCAAGGTTTGTCCAAACAGTTTTTCAAAGGAATATTTCTCAACACACCTTATCTCGTTTGGCAAGCTGCTATGTAATTTGTTTCCAACCACAGTACAAGGCAAAACTTGACACAGAGTCTCTCAGAGTCACAGAATGAACTAATTGTTTCCTGCAAAGGCCCACTCCCTGTTCGCTCCTCTTTTATTTCCTGTGGGAGGGACCAATCACCTCCAAGGTGTGGCTTTGCTCCAGAGTCAACCCTGCTTTCTGAGCTGTTCTTGTCTTCTGGCAGCTCTGCGCATGCGCACACTGGGAATGGGCTCCAGGTGTTCCTCTGCCTCACTGCTGTCTAACTCCCTCTCTGCCTCCAATGCAGAGCCCTCCTCTGAGCTTTCCCCAGTCCCCAGGACTAGCCCAAGTTCCTCCCCAACCTCCTCACTGTCCGACTGCTGCCAGCTCCACTGGCCACCGGCAGGCCAAAACAGTTCTACATTCCTAATGCATGCTTTTTCCACCTGCCCCTTTTTCTTCACTTGTTCCTTCTATTTTCCCACACTTCTATTTCATTTTGTCCTATTTTATAGCCTTGCCTTTGGGGAACAAGAGATTTGGCTCTATATTAGCTAGAGGTGGCAGACATCGATGGCTGCTCCTTTCCCAATCCTCAGAAGAGGTGGGGAAGGGAGAAGGGGAAGAACAGATGATTTATTTAGCTACTTTCCGTCTTCTACAAACCCTCTGTGATATCATCTGCCCTATGGTGGGAGGTTAAGAGAGCTAAATCTGTCTTCAGATCAAATTTAGTTAAACATACATGAATGTTTATGAAGTCATTAATGTTTATTAAAGTTCAGACCTATCTAAAATTAGATTGTAGCCCCCACCTGAATGAAAATCGTCAAGATACAAAAGAGGCTTTTTATTACATTAGCAGGGTTGTTTGTGTATTTTGGTCATTTCTATGGTATCTGGGGTACCCTTTCTTCCCAATCTACAAGAAACACTAGACAATGCTTTGTTGTATATTCATTGCTTTAATTCTCCATGTCTCCTTATGGGAGTGCTATACCATATTAAAATAGCATTTCAGTTGAAGGGCTGGTTCACATATTACTGTGGGTTAGTTTTTCACTCATGGGAGCTGTTTGGTGACCAACAGCATGATTCTAGAGTTAGTCACCCAAGGCACTTAGCCATAATTTCTGCCATCTCTCGATAAAAACATTTTAGAAATGTTTGCCTGTGTGGGTATAAATAACTCCCATGAATGGAAAAACCGGCCCCTAAGTAATGTGTGAATTGACCAAAGAGTTATATTTCCTAGGAATACCTTACATATTCCCCACCTCCCTCTACATCTTCAAACAGACTAGGCCACCCAGCATTTCTGCTCCTGGGAGCCATTCATTCCTATCAGTATTCTTAAATTCACATTACAAATTCTTCCTGTGGTTGAGCTGCAATTTCTTCTAGCCTTGTGAAATGATTTGGAGAATATTTTTTTTAAAACAGTTTATTTAATATCACTTAATTCTTGCAGCACAACACTGTCTACTGCATTGTTCTGATTATTTTTGCTGGCTATTTTCTATGATTTGCACATTAAAAAGGGGAGAATAACATGGTTAAAGTTCTCTGTGGGTCACTGTTAAGCAGTAAAGTAACTGAAGTCAAATCCTGGAATAAGTTCCAGATGGTTGCATCTTTTAAGTTCAATAAAGAATGACTGCAGTGATAGCAAATTGATCGTCTCTTTTCTGAAAAAAAAAAATAAAAGATTCTGTATTATAGTCTGGTGCTAATCAACAGCACCACCTTCAGTTTGCAAAAGCTGAACAGTTTACAAAAGGCTATTTTTACTTCTTTTTCACATTAGATCATGCAATTATGTCATTATTTCTCGGTTTTTATTTGTGTACTTCACTTGTTTCTGTGATGTGTGAACATGAATCTGGCCATAATAAAGAATCAAATGGCATTCATTCATTAAATATAATTGTTTGATTTCTCCAATTACTTTTGGAATGCTATGCTAATACTCACCAATTTATCTGTAAGACAAGCATAATAGAGTGATAAATAGCCATATCAAGATAATTTGATTATTTTTTTTAAATGGTTACATTAATACAATTTCCATTAAAAACTCTGTTTGTTTATTTATGACAGCCAAGATCTCCTCATACAGCCTCACATTACTAACACTTCACTTACTATTATACAATTTATATGATGGGTTTCTTGAAATTTTGATTGATGCTATAGTGAACTTGCAATGGCAAACTTGCCACAGCCAACTTGTCGTGGCCAGTTTGCTGTGGGACAACTTGCCAAAGCCAACTTGCCTCAGGGCAACTCACTGAAGGACAAGAGTTACACTAATATCAAAGAAATTGTGGAATAGATTAATTAAAGGATGAAATGTAATGGTAAATGGTAAAAATTAAAATAATGTTTTTATTTATTTTAAATAATTAAATGAAATTGTTATCTTGTCCTGCAGCAAGTTGTCCCATGGCAAGTTGGCCATGGCGACTTTGTCTGCAGTAAGTTGGCTGTGGTGAGTTGGCCACAGTGAGTTGGTTGTGGCAAATTGTCCCATTCCGGTCTCTATCTACTGGGATAAAATGCTGAGATCAAATCATCTTTTCTTTTGTCTTTTGTCTATCGGTGTTGTGACCTAGAGTCCCAAACAAACCTATTTTATTGTAACAGCTGAGAATTGCGTTCATTCCCAGTTGAGTTTCAATTAGTTGCAAAACAAGACCTTCGGAAGAAGTCCTTCGGGATAATCACTAACCTTTATCTTCTTTGACACCCTGCCAAAGGCCTTACTTGGCAAAGCCCCACGAAGTTCAGAAACAAACAAGAGATGCCAACTAGAAACAGAGTTAGTGACGTTGCTTTCCTGCAAAAGTCCCAAGTGCCTTTGTTTCTCTTTTAAGCCTTATGGGAGGGGCCAATCATCTGGCCTTACTCCTGAGTCGCCCCTTTTGCTTTAGCTGCTCTTGCCTTCTGGCAGCTCTGCACATGCATGCACTAGGAACAGGCTTCTCCTGTTGCTCTGCCTCTCTGCTGTCTGACTCTGGAGGCTCTGGAGTCCATGCATCACTCTACCAGATGGCCCTGGCCCCATCTCTGCCTCCGATGCAGAGCCCTTGTCCGGGCCTTCCCCAGACTGGCTCATGTTCCTCTCCAGCCTCCTCACTGTCCGACTCCACTGCCAGCTCCACAGGCTGCTGGCGGACCACAACAATCAGGTGCAGAGACTATTAAATTATTTTTGAGGCAATTTACATGATAGATATCTTGAAAGCAGCTTGGAACCATACACCTCTTTTTGATCCTTTTTTATGACCAGGTGGAGAGGTTTTTATTAAAAATTTTATTAAATCTCTGATTTCAGTAAAAGTGTTAAAAGCTCAGCATTGTGCTCTTAATTCACAAGGTTTAAGATGATAGAAAGGTGCATTTGCTTGTTGGTGTTAAAAGAAAATGGATATAGTTAGGAATGAAATTGAGATTTATTTTAAGTGATCCTTTTACCTTTAAATAGGTGCATGAAACATAAAAGTATTACAAGCCATGCTTTTAACATTCCCTTTTCTACATTATAACTATCTGCTTCATAAAAGTGGCCACCATCATCTTAAATTTTGCTTTAGCTTTAACACCTGTACCGAACCTAAGACCCATCGTGAGTGCAGGAGGGGGATAAAATAATCATTTCTAATAATACTTTGTTGCAATATTATGTTTTTAGCAAACTCTAAATAACTTTCCTATCTTAAAAAAAATTAGATAAAAGCGGTCATCCCATCACAGTCAGCCTTTTATCTTATCGGCTGTTCATTAACATCAATTTTTACCAAATTAGCACTTCTCATTTACTGCACATTTTGTTGCCATGCTGCCAATACTTTATTTCTTAGCTTTTTTGCTGTCACTCCATTAAACAGAACTTGCTATGTTACTTAGAGTCTCTGTTACTCAAAATCTGCCAGGAAGCAGCAAGTAACTTCACAACATGAGACCCAGTATCAGAAACATAACAACTAGGGGATTATTTTTCTCTTTTAAGCTCTTAATTGCTGGTGAGGCCAACTTGCCTTTCTTTGGAAAGAAGAAGCAGCAAGATATTTTTATAGATGTCACATTCATGATTCTGGCATTTGTAATGCATGGGAGCTATGACAATGATTGGGAAAAGTAAATACCAAGATATTTAAGCTATTTGCTTATTCAGGTTCATCTCTGCCAAGCAATAGCAATAGCACTTAGATTTATATACCACTTCACAGTGCTTTACAGTGCTAAGCAGTTTACAGAGTTACCATATTTGCCCCCAACAATCTGAGTCCTCATTTTACCAACCTCAGAAGGATGGAAGGCTGAGTCAACCTTGAGCCTGATGAGATTTGAATTGCCAAATTGCAGGCAGTTGGCAGTCAGCAGAAGTAGCCTGCATTCTAACCACTGCCCCATCAAGGCTCAAGAAGCCATTTGTGTTCTCCCTCTTGATTTTAAAGTATCATATTTTTCAGAGTATAAGACGCTCCGGACTATAAGAGTCACCTACCTTTTTTTGGTGAGGAAAACAAGAAAAAGAAATCTGCCTCTGCCTCCCAGCAATTTTGCCTCGTTGCAGCAAACAGCAAATAGCCTGCTTTACTTTCATTTTCGTTTTCAGCATAGCTTGATTATCACAAGAAAAAAAATCTGCTCCCAGCAATTTACATCCTTGCAGCAATCAGCAGAGGCCCACGCAAAACAGCTGAGAGCAAAACAGCTGAGAATCAGGAGGCCGATCCAATCAACTTGTGCTAATTAGGCTGTGCTGAAGCTGAAACGAGCTGTTTCTTCTTGCTGCTTGCTGCAAGGAGGTAAACTGTTGGGAGGCAGAGGCCAAAGGGTAGGAGCCAGTGGGTGGGCGGGGCTACATTTGGTGTATAAGACGCATCTAAATTTTCACTCCCTTTTAGGGGGAAAAAAGATGCATCTTATACTCCAAAAAATATGGTAGTTAATTTTAAATGACTTAAATCTACAGAATTCACTCAGAATTTATCTACAGAATTTTGGAGAATCCGTACAATACAATTTTGGGTATTGAGAGCAACATTACATCACCAGCATATAAAGAAAAGAAATTTAACAATTTCCAGTTCATTGTGGGAAAGCAGTAGTCTCTACTATCTTAAGCAGGACTTGCCTTAAGCTACATTTTATAGCTATAATGCACCTGGAAGAGCATGTCATCAGAAATATCTATTTTTTTTTTCTCAGATAATAGGTCTCACCGGCTTTCTTTACCTTAATCAGTTTCATGAAGTAGATCCCTCAATGATGAATGAATAATATTGTTTTTCATATACAAGAAGAGGATAAAACAAATCAGCTAATTATGCTTTAATTCATTTGAAGGTTGCAATAACGGCTGCAAAATAAATGCAAAATCTTCTGTCATGGAAAGAATTAAATTTGCATACAGATTTGCTGGATTTAGGACAGGCTTCAGTATACTGGATCAATGCTTTATATTGAAGCATTTGATTTGGAAGTTGTCTGGAAAATCTATCCAGCAGCCTTTAGGTGGTATTCATTGATTCATGTCCAGTGTTTGATTTAATGAGTAAATAAATGAATATGAAATGCTTTGTACAAAATATGTCTCTAATTTCTGATTCTAACATCTTGGCAAGTGCATCTAATAATAGAGGCCAGCTCTGAATGTACATGTAAATTCATTACTTTGTCTTTCAAAACACTGTCAAGTATACCAGCTGGAGTTCTGTAAGAAAAAAAAATAAATATTACATAGCTGGGTAAACTTTATAATAATAATAATTTAAAGAAGGACATATTTTGAACTTGGTCACATTTTTAGCAAAAGATGAATAGAACCCATTTTTTTACAGAGAAATAATCATGAAAGATCAGAACAATATTAGAATTTTACTTGAAAACATGAAAAGAAAGTCTGAAAGGAAAGATTGATTTATTATTGATTATGTGCCATCAAGTCATTGTCAACTCCTAGTGACTACATAGATATATTTTCTCCATTATGTTCTGTCCCTAACCTGGTCTTTCAGCTCTTCCAATAGTGCAGTTACCACTACTATACCCAAAGCCATTCATCTTTTCCATGTCTTTGTATAATATGTTTAAAGTAGGATAATTTGAGCCTAGTCATTTGTAGTTCAAGTGAGAACTCTGGGTTGATTGATGATCCATTTGTTGTTTCCTTGGCTGTCCAGAGTATTTTCAGGAGTCTTCTCTCCAACACCAAGTTCAAATACACCAATACACTTCCTAACCTGCTTCTTGAAAAACTTCAGGTTTCATGGAGTATCACAGCAGCTACTATGGTTTGCATGATTCTAACTAATTTGTAGCTATAGACACATCACATTATTAGAATATCTTTTCCATGGCCTTCTGTACCAAGTGTTAATCTGTGACATATGTCTTCACTGCTTGTTTCTTTATTTTAAAAGTTAATCTTAGTAGTCAGAAGCTATCTACCACTTTGGTATCCTTAATGCCAACTCTAAAGCTAATTGTTCTACCTATTATCATTAGTTTGGTCTTTTTCGTATTTAATTTTAGTCCCATTTTTTCACTGTGCTTGTTAATGTTTAGTACTGGAACTGGGAGGTCCTTTGTATTTGTGGCTATCAGGGTAGTGTCATAAGCATAATGCAAGTTATTGAAGTTTCTTCCTTCAGTTTTAAAACTACACTTGACTCTTTCTAATCCACACTACGATTATAATTCTAAGAAATTAATGTGCAAGACAAAGAGTAAATAAAAGACTGAGGCTGGTCAATTTCCATTCTGTGATCCATTGAATCCAGACTCAGCATCAAAATAATGTAACATGATAAAAGCTCTATCCCTTATGTATTGAGTTGGTGCAGAGCCGTGGTGGTGCAGGGGTTAGAATGCAGTATTGCAGGCTAATTCTGCTGACTGCTGTTTGCCAGCAGTTCGGCAGTTTGAATCTCACCCATTCAAGGTTGACTCAAGGTTTTATCCTTCCAAGGTTGGTAAAATGAGGACCCAGATTGTTGGAGGTAATGTGCTGACTCTGTAAATTGCTTAGAAAGGGCTGTAAAGCATTGTGAAGTAGTATATAAGTCTAAGTGCTATTGCTATTGTACTATTGTGACATGCAGTGTCACAATGCAGCATAAAAAGAGCGGAATTTGCATCATAATACTATGACATAAACATTTCCCTACTTTCCCTGCCATATTCCTAGGCCCTTTGATGTCCCTTTAAATCTGGCAGAATACTGAAGCAGTTAAAATTAAAGGTTGGCATAATACAAAGTGACCACATAAAGAAAATCTTACTGCAAGTTCTGCATTGACTGTTTCACTGGTTCATAAAAGGCAGCAAATACTGCAGATAATTTTGTTCCTGTTCTCCCAACAGAAGCATCTACATTATTATTTCCTCAAATGTCTGCAGGAAATATTATTTTACTCATAGCTGCAACTGGCACAGTGACTCATAAGGTTTATAAAGCTATTTTTGAAATAGTCCCTAAGGCAGAGGAATTGGTGGGCGCAGTTGGATTTATATATTCTTAAACCTGTCACTTTCTGCATTCAATTCCCATTATTAAGTTCCTAGAATAACATTTGTAACATTGTCATTTTCCTCATACGTTAACCCTTCTTCAAATGGCCATTGCTGTCATTAGCTCCTGATGGGGCTGTCTTGCCTAGCTGCGGTTATTAATAAGAACATAAAGCATACTTTCACCAAATTACCTCAGTTCTTCCATACTTCAGCTAAAGAAAGGGAGAAGGAGCTGATTTCTAAAGGGAAAAAAACAGGCAGTACAAATTCTTCCACTGCCCAGAGATTAAAGCAAAGCTTTAATAAGCAGATGGTGACCTCTGTGAATCGGCCTGCCTATAGTGATTTATTAAAGTGGTTCTTACTCTAAGTTAATACTTGATAAACTTTGAGGCTTTGGGTCTGTGAGCATTCCTTTGTCAATTATTTGTAGCAAAGGCCACATGCAGCAGATCTAGAAAATAGACTAGGTGTATGAGTTCAGGGTGGATACAGTCTTTATAATATTAAAGTTGTAGGATGTGCAAAAGTCTCTACAGACAAAATTCTGCTCAAGCATTTTAACTCTGTTCAAACAGTCATTATATTTGACTGTTCTTAAAAATTTGCCCTGCTTTCACCTCCATCCTCTGCTGGTCTCATCTTTTGGGCACCTTTTCTATTGGCTCTCTTACCATTGCTTTTCTTATTATAGAGCTATCAGCTATCGTTTCCTAGGTTGCAAAAACTGGAGAGCTACTAGATGGCAGCAGACTTGTGAGAGTATTATCTCTTTACTGCCATGCAATGGTCAGCCAAATTTTTTTTTTTTTTTTTTTTTGCAGCCAAAATATGATAGCCTTATGCTAGGGGAGAAAAATGTCATTTTAAAATCCAAGCTAAATGGGAGGTGGGGAGATTTAAAAAAAAAAACTCTGGAAAGGAAAACATAAGACAGAGTTGGAAGGATCGGCTAAAGATGAGTAGGGCTTTATTAGTTCCCCTGAGTCTTAAAGTAAACTTGATACAACTGAAAAGCTAAAAACAAGCCAAAATAACATTGAATTAAGAAGGAACTTCTAATTCAAGAGCTGTTGTTTGTGTAAAGGTAAACAAGTTCAGCTAAAATTATCTGTCAGGATTTATGCATTCTTTCATGGGTATCCATCCGATAGTTAAATGCTGTGATGTTCCTGAAGTTTTTGGACCTGATATTATTGTCTCTCATTTTCATGTTCTCTGCATATGGTTAGTGATTTACTTAGTTCTTTGTTTCTGTGCAGTACAGAATCTCATTACATTAGAATATTTCCAAACAAGAGCAGGCTGTTAAACCTTGCATAGTCACTCAGCTCTCTTATGTGAATTGCTTCACATAAGAGAGAAGAGATTATTTTTAAGATTCTGCCTATGATTTTAGTGGTACTGTAGGATTATTTTCTCCAACAGTGATTGTTTTCACAGGAGCCTAGTTAAAATGGAATGGGAAGTTTCACATCCCTTTTTAAAATTTTTTTAATAAAGTTTAATTCGCCGTTAATGCCTTTATATTATTTCGACTCCCAAGTGGGGAAGGAAATAGCTTTTCCCCTGGCACACATCTCAAGCTCACATTACAGCAACAGAAGACGGTGCTACAAAATCTATTTCATTTTTGTTCTTATTTTTCTTTGATTTGCCATTTTGGACTGTGGAATTTCTTTTTCTCCCATACACTGGGGTTAGGGGAAAGAGTATCCCTTCAGCAGATTGGGGGGGGGGAGTATAGCAAAAGTATTACAAAGCAGTTAAGGCAGGAAAACAGGTCAGGCTATATAAAACCAAAGTATTCCTGGGAAGGGAAAGTAGAGAGCCATAAATTCTTACTCTTCAGGCTCAGCCTTTAAGCATTAAAACTACAACATTGCTCTTTATTATTAGAAGGTTATTTTTTAATTGAGGTGTGTCTATGTCTATGCTTGTGTGTAAAATCTTTATCATTACTATCTTCCTATCTTTCATAATGTCCTTGGTTAGGGACACTATCTTTCTTTCTTTTTTTAGAGTATTATAAAGGCCACCCTCACTGCACAGGTACTTAAAGTGAATACCTCTGAGGGAATGAATAAAGAGCTATTTCAAGTCAATCAAGTGAGTGAAGGTAGCAAGTACAGTGGCCTCTATCAGCTCCAATGTTACCAACTTGAACAGAAAGGTTCAAACCATGCCCTGTTTTCTTTTTCATCTCCAGTTCTCATTTACTTAGATGAAAGATTAATTGCCTTTGAATTTTCATTCAAAATAGAATCTTGGTAGCCAGGGTGTGTGCATGAATATTCAGTCTTTAGCACTCCAGTCACCTCACTTGCAGTCTGTAGCTTCCCTGATCGTCCATGTTTGAATAAAACCACAAGGGAAGCTCTCATAAATCCAAAAAGGACTTTGGAGTGATGGGAAAAAATATAACCGAAAACAATATCAGAAGAAGTGTCCTTGACCACCTCAATAAAAAAAAGGACCCCCAAAAGAAATTCAGTCAAAAATCTCAAGCATCCTCAGTGTAAGAGAGAAAAACAGAAGTGTTTTTGAGAGGAGCAAGGGAAGGAATGTTTTAAGGAATTGCAAGGCATCTTTAAGCATAATACTCATCATAAGAGGGTCCTTGTATTTGCTTCACCTAAAAGATATTTTCTTCTAATCTTGTCATTCAATATAACAAGAAGCAAACCCAGGAGATGGGGTGATGTGTATATTATGTATACAAATGTTTATATATCACCTGTTTCCTGTTGGCTCCTTGCCTTTTAAATGTGTTTAAATTAATTTTTGGCTGAAATCTGATTTTCTAACTCTCAAGTTTTCTTCTCTCACAAAATATGCTTGTTCCAAAGCTTTTTAAAGAGGCAGGCTTTTTCAAGAAGCAACCAAGAAGTCTCTTCAGTTCCAGTTGCCTCTTTAAAAAGCACCTTTGGGACAACCATGACCTGGATGACTGAGAATCTCCCTAGACAAAACATGCTTGTGTTTTTCTATTGCATTCCAGATTCCAAGTATTTCTTGTGAAATTCTTTTAAACTTCCGTGTTGTTTGAAAAGGGCAAAAAAATGTTGTTGCTACTAATGTTACTCCCTGATTCTATGGTCTCTGTGGTTACCTCACCGTTCTTTTCTTTTTTTTTTAAACCCTTCATGGTAAATCCCAAATTTAGGTTAATGAAATACAATCCTATAATGACATAATTTTCTATATCCAAACAAATAAGCTCTATTATGCTGACTGTATAAATCGCTTAGAGAGGGCTGTAAAGCACTGTAAATCAGTATATAAATCTAAGCGCTATTGCTACTGTATATTCTTAAGATTGTAAAGTGAAAAACACATATAACAGATTGCAACTTCCCCATTCATTTAAGAAAGCAAAAGATCTGTTCTTATAAAAAAGGCAGCTACCTATTTGATTTATCATCCATATTTGTTTTATTTGCTCAGCAATAATTCTCATTAAGTTGAATAGAATATATTTCTCATCACATAAGTATTCTTAGGCTGATGAAGTGATATTTAACTCTAATAATGCTAAGGTCACATATGGTCTGTTTCAAATTTGGTTGTGACCCCTCCTGCCCATGAGCTCCCAGACTTGTTACCAAATTGTAACTTTTAATATGGCATAAGGGGAAAATATTAAGGAAATGGAGAGTAATCAATAATATAAACTGCATTTAGTGTTAATTCAATTTAAATCAAATCAATTTATTTATTTATTTTTTACTTGACTCAAGCTTTTGAGAAGGGTCCCAACACACTACTCAAAGATCAAATCAATCTGTGGTTACAAAAAAAAAACATCTTCAGTAGCTGGCTGGAGAATATAATATAGAGAATAGTGTGAATTAATTGCTCTTTGGTCTCTATTGCTAAATGAACTTTTATTAAAAGGATAATGTTTGAATGTAGTTGGCTTTTACTTTCATTCTCAAGTGAGCTTTTCACAGTGTAAAGTGTACAGTTGTGTAAACAGCATGAAGTCTGTTTATTATGTCAGCCTTATGAAGCTGTTTCCATACCTATCAAAGTTTTTAAAGACATCTTTGTAAAATGGAAATTAGAACACAGAAGAGAAACATATGCCTGAAAAATAACAAGGTTATAGAGTACTGAATTTTAATCTACATATTTAATTATTACTGAGAAATTTCAAACAAATTAACAAATCTGAACTCTAAATTTGTTTTTGATCATATTTTTTTATCCCACCTATATTATTTTTACAAAAATAATAGCATATCTCATGCTCCCTCCTCCTGCTCCTATTTTACCCACAAAAACCACCCTGTGAGGTGAGTTGGATTGAGAGGGAGTGACAGGCCCAAGTCACCCAGCCCACAATATATGAGAATGAAGATTCCAAATTATATTGAAGTTAGCATGTAGACTTAAATAATGTCTTGTAAAGATGTAATGTTTTCATGC